CTTTTGCTTTGCCTCAACGTCCCAAATGAATCTTTTACAGTGCGGTTTCAATTTATTCACAAGCTTTGTGTTCTTGGTGTGATTGTAATTTACAGTTAGTGAGAAACCAATAGGACAATGATCTGACAAGTAATTAATATCATGAATTTTAAGATAATCAATATGTCTGTGTAAATCCTTTGTGCTAATGCAGTAATCAACTGTACTTGAACCGACCGGATTATAATAATGGCTAATGACGTAATTAATACACTTACTGATAACCGATGTAGTCACTATGAGGGAAAATGACGCAATCAATAACCGAATGGCGTAACCAATACACTGTCTGTTGACATATTCACTCTAATGGCTAAAGACGTAATCAATACTCTAAAGATTTGATCACTACAATAGTTTATGGTGAAATCTATATTTTGCCAACGTTTACAATCAAAGCTTTGAATCGGTAAGACTGAATTACTAAATACAACCTAATAATCTATATACCATATATTGTGTTAATCCAACATGATCTCACAGTGAATCGATCCTTGCGAAACCACCATTAATAACAGAAGGTTGGTATAAGTGTTAATCACCACAAACATAACACTCCCTGCCACGAATTCTTAATTAGTTTGACGAATGTATTGACCAGCTGTCGGTCAAGGGCAAATCTTGTATTCTCCTCGTCGATTTTAACATTGACACATCTAATAACATTTTTGAATTTATATAACTTTACATAGTTAATTAACAGCTCCATCAGAGTGACGGACACACCTAATACTACCAATGATCTCCGACTCTTTTATTGAGTGTAGTTGATTGAAAGCGACATTACTGATCACTATCCAATATTTGGCACCATGAGGAACCTACATCACATATTCAATTTGAAATCTAAAATCTTACATAAGATTTTCACAATTACAGCTCGCAAGCATTTTTGAGCGATTTAGTCAAAGTCTCTTGGCAGCGCACACATAACTGTAAGTTTGGACCTACAATATTTTCTACAATATTTTCTCTGAGCACCTGAAAGAAAAAACGGCTCACATTAACACGTTAATAAGCCATGGCTATCGAAGGGTTTGCTAAAATCGAACAAAACCTAATATACGCTTTAGACTTCAAAACATCTGTTGGTTACGAACACATTCATCTTTCATTATCTCAGCTGTTCACATATTAACTGCTCATTTATTAAATGTATTTCCCCGATAAGCTGAAATATCCAGAATTTTCAGTATTTAAAAAAAGACTAAGTACATATATGGGAAATTGCAAACCTATTTCGATTCTTCCTGTCATTACCATAGTTTTTGAGTCAATTGTCGGCAAACAAAAAACTAATTATATAGAAAAAAATGTGAAATACTCCAAAAAATAGTTTTCGGAAAAAAACAACAACACAATACTAAACTGTCCCTTGCTGACCTAGTCAAAGATTTAACTACAAATCTGGACAGTGGACAACTCAATTTTTGTATATTTATTGATTTGCAAAAGAAAAAAAAATGATATCATTGGTATTATCCAGTAAAGTCGAAAATTGTGGATTTAGGGGTACAGTATTATAGTAGTTTAAAACTGCCCCTCCAATCAAAAGCAGTATGTTGTAATTGACAAGAGCCATTCGTCTATCAGGGGGAAATTCTGAGGGTCTCCACACGTGTCAGGGGGGGGGGAATATCGTCCAGTCTCTCTATCGCGTCCCCTTGAGGTACGGGATCGGGAAAGTCACTTAAGCTTTACAGTCAAATAGACGCACACAACAAAATACGTTTCAACTCTCGTCTTTAGTCAGTCAGTCGAGTACTCTATAAGACACAGCGGCCTGGGGAAAAGTCCCCGAGACTATCGCAAGGCGGACCCAAGACTAGCCCAAGACTGCGTCTCAAGACTGCCCCAAGACTGCGTCTGTCGTGGTGTTCTCGACAAGACCAACTAAAACAGCTTTATTCACTTTCAAAACCTTAACCAATTACAAAGAAGTATAAAGACTCTAGGGCGTAACCTTAAATCATACAGCCAATCGCACTAAGTACTGAACACGTCATATCTTTTGATTAATCGTTCACTACATTAGTAACTGCGAATACCATCTGTCAGAAATAGTAGTCCGAATAGCGACGGTTATATCGTAATTAGTTCCAAATCACTGAGTCGAGTTCCGTCCAGGACCTCGCATGGGCCTAAACGATGACAGACATAACACAGCCATTCGCTAGTAATCAACTAAATAAGTCGATCAACAGATACGTGCAAACAATTTCATCATACGTCCCCCAAAATATTCATTGTGGTGTTCCACAGGAATCGATTCTCGGTGAAATTTTGTTGTACGTCGATGATATTGCTAACTCTACCAGCCTTTTTGTTTTCATGATTTTTTACGGACGAAACCAACCTTTTTCAAAGTACTTAGTAATATCGCTATTGAACTCAGCACCATCAACATCGAATTACAGAAAGTTTGCAACTGTAGAAATGCAACTAAATTAAATACCAACAGAGACAACTGTAATTACATATTAATTAAAACACCTCAGAGAGCAATCAATAATTGTTGTAACGTTACTGTCCAAAATAAAACTGTAAAGTACAAAGTACTTGGGTGTGACACTTGAGAATATATTTAATAAGAAAGAACACATTTTAAAACTATTTCCCCTAAAATTAATATTTTGTCTAAAATATGCATTACACCAGAACGATAAATGGCCTTCCGTAACCTTAATTTTTGCTATTGAAAATTTGCAGTCCTTTCAATTCAATTATAATGGTACAAACGAAAGTATATATTTCCAATGCCGTGGTGGCGCAAACATGCAAACTACCGATTTGACCGGACTAATGCAACTGGGCATGCATTTAATAAGAGTCCGTTGAATACTATGAATAATTTATTTTCGGTAGCCAATTATAACCTTCCTACCATGGGCATATTCCTTGACACTCACGCGTAATCAATAATGAACACTGATTTCTATCAGCTGTCCATTGGAGGAAAGAAAAATTCGTACCTTTCAATTTTATCAACCAGGCAAGGCTTCTCTTGTATTGCAAAAATACTGGAGAAGCCCGTGCGCTACTGCACTTTATGCTTGAAAAGGTGTTTTGCAACGATGTCACCACACTTCAACGGAAGCTTCATATTCCGTACTTCATACGGCAACAACAGCAATTTCATCGATGACGAGCAAGCTACGGAACAGGCATCTTCATCGTCCGATTCCACATTCACATTGCCTCTCATAGTTGTGGGGATATTTGTCACGGCAGTTCTCATTGTTCACTTCATTGTGAGTTACATATACCGGTCACGTCCCCGACTAGACGAAGACAATGTTCTTCGGTTGAAACACCAGCAATCCGGTGACATCCCTCGCGGCGTCGAATCCAGAAACACCACTTGCTCGAATACTATGTTGACTAATGTAATAACGCACGTGGAAATACGAGATCAAATAATTGGCGAGGACGTTAATCTATCAAACGGGAATTTGTGGTCAAAATGTGCCCAACCAGCTGTTTTGCCTAGAGATGTTATCGATTCCGATCCGACCATTCGTTGTCACGGAGATTTTATCATCGGATCACCTGCTGTGCAATCACTACGAAGTACGTGTTTACACTTGAGGCGTCCAACCCCACCCGACTCGACGAAAATAAAAGCAAAACCTAATTTATTTTGTGAAAAACAACCTTACAAGAAAAACAATTCTTTTGAATTTAGTCGGACCTCGTTAGCAAACGTATCAAGTCCCCTAGGTAATAACACGCGCAGTACGCCAACTATGTATTACATTGAAGGCAGCGGCAGTCCTCCGACATTTCCATACATATGTAATGACAGTAGACAGAACGATAAAGAGGTACGTGTAGATATTTCTCTCGAACTTTTGATAAAAATGACATAAAAGTTGGGACCTAGATTAAAAATATTTTTGACAGTTTTTGTGGTAAAATAATTTAACGTAAATTATTAGAACAATTGACAAAAAATAAATCACGCTAACCTGAGAACGTCTCAAGATTTGATTCAAGTTTGCATAATACCAATTTAATCGCTTGCAATGTGATGTTACATTACCTAGAACAATAACATTTTCCCCATATGTAAACAAGTTCAAAGTTTCAATAGTTGCAAGTCGGCAATAGTTTGCTCACCAACTTAGGTTTTCCCTGTGTTAAACAGTGAACAAAAGTTTCTCCAGAAACAGATTATAGCTTCACCTTTTAAAATGAAGAAGAACCGTTTCACGTACACCTAACCGTTTCACGTACACCTGTATCTAAAACTGTTTGTTTACTTTTTTATAATAGTGGTAGATGCATTTTAATACCACGTTTTAAAAAACACACCGAATTGTATATATACATATTGAATAGTAGGTGACTTGTTTGTCCACTTACCAACGGCAGTTAAAACTATGTGACCTTGTATGTTTTAAAGTTGTACATATGTTACGATACAACGCATATATAAATAAGTAACACACACTCGCTGTACATGTTCAACGACACAGGACAAGTAGATATGCTATGATATGCCATGGACGATGATTTTTAACATATATATTTTGCTCTAACATTCATTGCAGCTCTATTCTTCATCTGTGCTGACGTCATTGGTTCAGTCACCTCACAACAGTCGAATGATATCTAGAGACGGTGCATGTTCATTTCTGGGCTCTGGGCTCGATTTCGATTTCGGTGCCAGTGTCGGCTTCTCTGGACAAATCGCCTCTTCTGATCACTGCACCTCGTTTCAAGAAGAATGCGTGGAAGACGATACTGAATCTGACGATTTTGGCGCTTCTCAATTATCCTTTTCGTGGGATTGGGATAGCATTACAGCAGATTAGCTGTCACATAACTTTGAATATGTTGACAAAAACCTTATTCCCACACTTGCAACAAAGAAGACTAGATGCAGTCTATGAGTCCAATATTTTGAAGTATCTACAAATAAGACTCGTACTCGGAATGTCTGGATTCCAGGCTAGCCACAAAAAACAGAGTATAGAGCTCTGTGGCAATACACTGAGGTACATTTTTATTGATTTTTAATATAATTAAATAAGCATGTATTAGTTTACTCTTCCTTATACAAATAAAAAATGACACATCACTGTTTTATTCAGTCCACAAATATGCATTTCGAAAATTGAATTGCGTACGCTTAAGTAGACATACATGTCTCAACGTACCCAGATTTTTATATTTGTTTTGTAATATTAAGGTATGATTGCATAGGGTATCATTTTTTAAAAGCATTTCTATTTATTGAAACAGTTCTTAGACTTTTCAAAATAAGAGAACGATTTTCTTTTCTCTCACAGGTATACTTGCAGGCTCTTTGACAGTACACTCAGGTGTATTGCGCTTTTACATGTAATAAAGTAATCCCCGCGCTGTTCAATACGGCATACGAATTGTAACAATTGAATCGATAAATCTGAGCTAAATTTGGCAAACTCTGTTTTATACAATTTATATCAACAAACTGAAATTGAATTTATACAAATACAAAGCGGTCTATTGTATGTCCGTTCATGTGCTCGTCAATAATTAATTGTATACTATGTAGAATGCATCCATCAACATCTACAGTAGCTCTGAGAAGGTAGATGGAGGTTGTGTATGTTCTAATCACATCTTACGTCTTACTGTAGGTACATACGTGGAGAAAATTGCCGGCGATACATACTATTTCAAGCATTTACTAAAATAAACAAACCAACGGCCAGAACAATAGTTCACATGACAAAGAGTGGTATTAGTAGAAAATAATGTACATGGAACTATTATTGGTAACAACAATACGTATAGAAGGTTTGCTTTGTACATCCTGGTCAATTTCTGCTCCGACATAGAACGGCTGTCTACATAACAGTAATTTCCTCGGATATTGGCTGGGAAATGGGAGGTTTTATTATTAGATGGCACAGTCTTAATACACGTGGGTTAACTCTTAGTAATCTTTTACAAAAACATCAATAGTTATCTATATGCTAATTTATCTGTTTTTATGTTTAACTCCATATACACATGAATTGATACACATGTCATTGCACATACACATGGTAATTTAACAAACCGCGTGCACTACGTATAGCTTAAACATGGAGGTAACTTGTGACCGTGTTGTAATTGTCTGAACATTGGTGTCATATCATCATCGAATCCATCTGTAACATGGTTGCATAAGCTTATTATTCATGGGTCAGCCACTAATACCAGTGATATATAATACCTTTAATTAGTGAATGCATTTTATATATTTTTTTCTTTTACAAATCATCGTGTTGTCTAACCTTGAATACATCCTACCAGTCCAGTGCTGCTTTCTCTTAACCCGACACACATAATCATCGCATTTACGTCGACCAAGTGTTGCATCAACGTCTTCCTATTGTTTAATAAAGATATGGTATATACTATATGCTACCACCTGTTAAGAGATATTAAAAAAATATAACTGTGAAACAGAACTTACTTGCAACTGAAATTACAACGCAATTTGTCATGAGCAAACATTTGGCACTTCATTACACACTTATGAAATACTATGAACTATATAATAGTCACGCACTCACAAATACGCAACAAGATGCTTTATTATTAGACCAAAACAAATTTCAGATAATCAGCGACTACAGCATAGCCCTTTTGTATTGCGTCAATATGACCAAACCATTTGAGCATAGGGGTGTCATGTACTGTCACTTGAATGAGTTTCAAAACAATTCCTTTGCTATAAGCAAAACATTTTTAATTCTGAATAAAAAAAAACTCAAACAAAAATTACAAAACAGATACTTTACAGGACATGCCTATCTATATGTTACTCTAACTTTATTTTATTCAATCATGCGCAGCTTTTCAAAAAAAAATATCCCATTACACTTGCCACAAATTGTCGACAGAGGGCGCATATCACGGAAAAACGAATACAGGGCCTGTTTTTTTCAATAATCGTACATATAAAGAGGTTTATAAAATGAAAACATACCACAAGGCTGACAAAAAATTAAGATTTTGAGCAACACAAGTCTGTTTAATAACTATAAATTGCATAAAACTTCACCTGAAATTGACTCACAAAACTGGATCACTTAGTACAGACGTCATAAGACAAATGAAAATGTAAGCATATGAGCAGATTAAGGAAATGATAAACAAAGTCAGTGACTTGAGCTTTAAAATTAGTCAACTACATGAAAGATATTCTGTCAAGTCGGCCAGCTCAAACTATGGTAAAACCGAGGTAAACAAGAGACGTCTGCTGTATTTGAACTGTACCCAAAAATATCACTGAAAATTACAAGATTAGAACAAACACGGTGTGTAGAAGGATGATTTCTGAACAAAAGTTTCGTTTTTGACCCAAGTGATGCACGCCCTCAAATGCCACTCAACAGAGAAAAATGATATAACATAAAAACATTTCACTGCCTTTGCTCATTCCAGCCACACAAGTCATGATTTGCCCGGGCAGTTAATAAATACAGATAAACAAAAGCAACTCAACAGGTGCAATAGAGGTCGCTTTGCCATCCACCTGATGGATGATATAAACAGGTAGAAATTTGGCGTTAAGCCAGGCCTGGCACCAGAAATTGTCTACATAATATTTCTCTGTTCTAAAAAATCACAGAATTTTTGAAAAAAAGAAATCATGTATACATGTATAATTTTAAAGAAGTTTCCCACAGAAATTCTTATTTATACCGATGACCACCTAAGTAAGTAACTAATTATCGATGTAAGACAACACAATGTTCAGCCTATAAAAGTAGGCATCTCAAATACAATTATATTTATATTCAAACAATTGTTGCAAATATTATTCATGCCCATATGATATTAAGTCATCCTATATAAATTTAGAAGTGATTACACACGAAAAAAATTGAGCTATTATATAAATGTTTTCTAGTAAATTATTTACAGTCTATCTAACTATTTTATGTAGAATTGCCTTAATAGTTCATAACAGCTACGGCGACCACCGTGACGATGTTGATTATGTTAAACTGGAATCAAATTCTACGAAACTTCCAATCTGTTAGATATATCTGCAGAAATCAAAACTAAATTGTATTGTTTACTGCTTTTGAACGCATTCAGCGTGTCGATGCTAAATCGCTCCGCCGAAGATATAGAGGTTTAGATTTAAACGTGTGTGGATGCGATATACATGTTTTGTCATATATATATATTTTTTTTTTTTCAAATATTATAATGCCATTTTATTTCTATTTTATCACTGGTAGTTTAGTGTCAATAGACGGTAGAACCGATCTGAGTCATTGTCTGGCATCAAGTCCATCGAAACCATGATCTTTCCCTTTAGAGCAATATCCGGGAGCCTTGTGTTTTAAAAAAATGTGGTATTCCTACGACCACTATTATAGTCAATCACATATTTTCTTCATCTAAACATTCGACTTTCATCTTGTCTAACATACCCCGAAATTTCGCCAAGTCTTTATTAAACTTATCGCCGTAGTCCTCCACTTTACGCCAAAATGTTTTGTTGAAATGTAGATAAAGTTTGTCATCAGCACTGTTGATTCCTAATATTTGCTGTCGTTTCCATTCATCAATGCCAAATCGAAGACGATTATTTCTTTTATTCTGTTGCATGTACAGGATATCTTCAAATCCCAGCATAATAGTTTTTCAAAAGAAGAGTGATTCGTCAAAGTATTAAGAAATCATAATCAACACCAAATCAAATTGCTTAGATGCTTTTGGTATCGCAACAACTACAAGAGTTTCAATGTTATTGGCGATCCGCTCCGCTAGGATTGCCCTTATAATCACTTTTGTCGTTTTGTGTGTGTGTGTGTCTGTGTGTGTACATTTCCAGTGTTCACTATTATTTCTTCTGTGATTTTTTTGGCTTGGCCGATTTCGTTCAAACTTGGCAGGTAGGTCACACCTTAACCCTAGTTATAAGGAAAAATCTGAAAAAATTTTTTGGCCCACCGTTGCCATAGCAACAGCAAAAAAACTGATTTTTGGATAGCTTCACGCCAAATGTATCTCCTCCTACAAATTTGGGATAAAACACTTCAGACATAGCTCATTCTACTCAGCTTGAGTGTGGGCACAAAGTTACCATTTGAATTTTTGATATCTGTTTTCATTACCGAGAAATTTGACCCTAAAGTTGGGGTAACTTTTCACCAGCAACTCTGTGATTGTTTCGGCTCGGCCGGTTTTGTTCATACTTCACAGGTAGGTCGTGCCGTCACTAATTGGAAAACAATCCTGCCCC